ATATATATATATATATATATAAAAATAAATATATTATATATATATATATATATATATATATATATATATATATATATATATATATATATACATATATCATGGGTATATATTGCGTATATATAACTTAGCACAAATGTCTTCAACCAGACAATCGTCAGCGTTCGCACTTGTATGTTCACACAATACTAAGTTCCGTTGTGTAGTAATTTCGAACTGTAGAAATCTGGTCGATTATTTTGTTTGTTAAATGGAACAAGCGCGTGGGTTGAGTTGGGTCCACAATTTAGATTCGGAAGACGACATTTAATAAAGTTAGAGTGCTTCAAGGTTCTAAAGGAAATTGAAACACGTTCAGGAGTTTATTATATCATTATTATTATTATTATATATTTGATTTCCCTTTAATGCTTAGCTCTTAAAAGTAAATTGCGTGCTTAAATATCGTTAACATAATTTAAATTCTTAACCTGTTATTCACATTTGATCGAGCAATCAATTTTGACGTCACTGATTAATAATTATATAAAATTTATGAGACCTGGTATACACTGAATTATTGTAGTCAATCTGATCATACATGATCGCGACATTCTCTCGAGTTATTTCAACATCGCGCCGACTTTCGGTTTGAAGATGTTATAGTCTTCAGATTATGTCTTGCTTTGTATTTTGTGAAATTGTCAGATGGCATTGGTTTCTTATCTCGCTTGTGTACTATTAATTTATTTTGTCATAGACTCATAGTAAGTAAGCGTAACATCGAGTACCTTTTTATCAAGATATTAAAGTATACTTCATTGTATGAACTGTAATATAAATCGGGACTTGTCTTTCTTCCTTTAATAAAGGCACCGCCACGTCTTTAACAACAAAAGGTAAACTCCCTATTTTTAATGAAAAAGTAGCTCATGAAATCAAATCAAACTTGAAATAGCGATTTCATTGCAATACATTATTTCTTTCTTTTCTTGCAGGTTTATGTGGTGAGAACCATCTGTATACTCCTGCTAGACTTGAAAGTCCTGATCATCCCTCTTCCTACCCTTGCTGTATAGACTGTAACTGGACTATTTCTGACACCAATGGATCAAGGATTCTGTTAACGTTTTCAAAATTTCGGGTAGGTCAGAATTAGGTAACTCTTTCAAAGCTTGACCCAACCAGTGGAATAAAACTTCCTTTTAATGTACTGAAATACGGCCAGCAAAGAATTTTTATTCTTGTTTCACTTTTAGTTGGCAAGTTTTTCAGGTAGTGATGATTACTTGGACGTTTATGATGGTGACTCCTTGTATGCACAAAAACTTGGGCGATATTGTGGATTAGTTTTAAAACTAAGTCTGACATCATCCGGATCCCACCTCTTTATTGCGTTCCACTCGGATCGTTTTTTTCAATCATTTGGATTTGTTTTGGATTTCTCAAATATTAATACAGTTGGTAAGTTTTGCTTACAAATTTTACGCTAATGGCGAACATTGAAAATGCATACATGTAAACTGTCTGAATTTTTAAAAATATAGTGTTTGATCATGTGCGTATCGATTATATCATTCACTAAATAGACAAAGCCATTGACGGGGCTCGAATTTTTACTTTTGCCTTTTGAAGGAAGTTACAAGCAATTCTTGACTATATTTGCAGCAAATAATATATTATTTATATATATTTATATATACATATCATTAATATTGAGCCTATATACAGGGTGAGTAAAAAAAACTTTGAAATTCGAATTAGCCGCGAACTTTTGGCTGGAATTTGACAATTCCCATTGTGTACAATCCACAAGATGTGGTTAATTAATGCGAAAGTGTTTAAACCAAATGAACTAATTCGACGTTCTTTTTTATTACAGAGCTTAGAAGCATTTTAACTCCCAAAGGAAACAAACTTTATGTTCTACAGGGTGTCCCAAAAAAAACGAAAACTATTGATATCACCTAAACAATGCAATTGTTAGAGTTTGAATGCCTAAGCACTCTGTTGGGACCCACAGGTGTGTAAATGTTTACCATACCCATTTTTATGCATTCATATGATGCAGTAAAATTTGGTTGTTCGCAAAAATGATCTTTATCAACAATCTTTACATATTACAAATATGGAAAACATTATTTAAATGTTCACCTCAAGGACCATGACCTTCGACATGTCCCCTTTCTCTAGCAACACAAAGCGTTTAGCATTTTATTAGTTGCATTAAATCCCCACGGAATGAAATTCATGAACACGGCAATCAAATTTTAACAATGAGTCATGATTTCAATAGTCTTCGTTGTTTTTTTTGGGACACCCTGTAGGTTAATTAATGGTTCACCTATTTGATATGCTTCGTATACCCATGAGATATTTCAGGCAACTCCTTTCACATTACAGCCGATCACAGACACATTGCAACTAATTTGAATTTCAAAGGTGTCAGTTTTTTTTACTCACCCTGTAAGTAAACGCAAACGATTAGAAATATATATTGTCCTCTTCATTGTTGTAAATACAATCACAGTTCATGCCGGTAAAGCTGCAAAGAATATCACCCTGTTCTTAAGTACACTAAAATTTAGTCCTTTTGGAATTTAAAGCGCTTCTAATCGGTTTAAATTTACGTCTTGATTATACCATGTTTTATAAAAAGAATTAATTTCTGGCACTATGTAGTGCATATTAGACATAATTCTTTCCGGATAAAAAGCTGACTGCACTAATCCTTAATCTTTTCAATTGCAATGCAATACTGAGAAAAATAGCAGTAATTTAAATGAATATTTTTTTGTTTATCATGCAAGTCACAATCTTAGATCTCCTGAGCGTTTAACGATTTTCACAAGATCGAAACTGGATCACGCAGTTTATGCTCCACTATATAGTACGATTGCACTTCTATGTATAAACGCGCTACATTTTGCTCCCAGAAATCAATTGATGTGCTTCTGAAAACTGAAAATTCGCGTCGCGTTGCCGCATCGCGTGAGGTCTGTGTCGATATTTACGCTACCTGCAGCACATGCTCCTCCTCCAACCCACTTGATCTTGTGCCTAAAATATAAATTTCCTGACTGTTGTAAATAACACTAAGCGGTCGCATCCACGTCATGGATTAGTCTGACGCAATTTAAACTCGCTATAATTATTGTGAATGACTGTGACCGCCCAACTTTCAAATACCTCGTCAAAAAAGTATTTTTCCGCGTTGACGAATGTCCGTATAGCAACCGAAAAATGTAAAGCTAGTTAATTATCGGGAATGCACAATGAGCAAGCATCGAAGAAGTCAACATTTTAATGTTCCTAAAAATCGGCTGGTCACTAGCTTTAAGATCGATGCATCGCCATCTTATTTAGGCATCGATTTCCCGAATAACCTCAAAGACTTAGCTACAAATTTACATTGGCGATAATTGGGGGGGGGGAGGGTTACATATTCATATATTCTTGTTATATAAGAAATTAATAATATTGCACAACATCAATATAATAATTATATGAATATTGGCCATCTATATCATGGTCTATCGCAGAGCTTATTCCTGCATGTTCGCGACGCAGACAAATTAAGTCAAGATATATAAGCAAACGAGTTGAAGGTAGATCTCTGCATGTAATTATACATTATTTTTCTATATATCGTACTGAGCACTAATGTATGTTTAAAGGTCCAGCATGAACTTGATATTGACGCACTATAAATATTATAAAGCGTGCATGTACAACTATGATTATTTTCCATAGTGGATTTAGTTATCCCCGCGCTGTTGAGTTTTTAACGCAATTGTTAGCAAGAAACTGCGTCAAAAAATTGGCTATCTGAGTTTTCAGACATTTATAGTTAATTTGTATATTACTCAATATTTACGTTACATGTGATTGGCCAGAGTAAGACCTGTATGTTCACACAATGCTAAGTTCCGTTGTGTAGTAGTTTTGAACTGTACATGTAGAAATTAGGTCGATTTTTTTGTATGTTAAATGGAACAAGTACGTGCATGGGTTGAGTCCCCAATTTAGATTCGGCAGACGATATTTAATAAAGTTAGAGTGCTTCAAGGTTCCTAACGAAATTGAAACACGTTCGGGAGTTTATTATATTATTATTATTATATATTTAATTTCCCTTTAATGCTTAACTCTTAAAAGTAAATAGCGTGCTTAAATATCGTTAACATAATTTAAATTCTTAACCTGTTATTCACATTTGATCGAACAATCAGTTTTAAAGTCACGGATTAATAATTTTATAAAATATTTATGACCCCTGGTATACACTGAATTATTGTAGTCAATCTGATCATACATGATCGCGACATTATCTTGAGTTATTTCAACATCGCGCCGACTTTCGGTTTGAAGATGTTATAGTCTTCAGATTATGTCTTGCAGTTGTATTTTGTGAAATTGTCAGATAGCATTGGTTTCTTATCTCGCTTGTGTCCTATTAATTTATTCTGTCATAGACTTATAGTAAGTAAGCCTAACATCAAGTCCCTTTTTATCAAGATATCAAAGTATACTTCATTGTATGAACTATATAATATAAATCGGGACTTGTATTTCTTCCTTTAAACGACATTGGCAACGAAAATTTTTATTCGCCAAATCTGTTAAAATCGTCTAGGAAATACTTAATTTAATGTTTTTGTGTGTCTATCGTATTTAGTTCTTGAGAAAATTTCCAAAAGTGTTCATCGGTGGTCCGCCACTTTGAAAATAAAGCCTTATGGTTATTTATGCTTGTCAACATTTGTGACGTCATATGATGCACTGTTATTTTCAGGGAGTTATTTTAACACCCCCAAATTTCATTTTTCGGGGTGTTAAATTTTGGTGCTATTTTGACACCACTTTTAGAGTTATATTAACTCCTCCGTGGAGTAACGAGGTCTTTGAACGTTGATTAGTATGCAAAAATAATCCCATCTAGAGGGGTTAGAGAAATTAACTCCATTTTTGGAGTTAAATTCCTCTCATTATATATTCATAATGGAGATTTGAAAACTAGGAGTGAAGATTGGTGATGCACATCGCGTTAATGATAATTTTTATTGAAATTGAACAAAATCTTGTATTGAAATCATTTACTACATCAGAATACGTGATGAAAAGATTGCCTCGGATAGTTCTGGTAAGTTTATAACGATAAATGTCATAGAATCAATCATTAAATAGCGAAATACATGGTCGATCGGCTGGAGTAAAGCATTGACAACCGATCATTATACATCGTATAGCGCATTATTATATAAGGTATTCAGCGCATTAAAAATATCATAACCCACGGTCTTGTAGTTCTAGCCTGGAAGGCCTTAATTGAAGTTTTTTCGAAATCAAATTTTCAAACAAACTATATAAAAGAGCTCATTTGATATATTTATGGAAATGCGAATTCCCCAGGTTTATATTTTGGTACTTTAAAACATGATTTACTCATGAATTATTCAATAAAACTATTTTTAACCTCTTTATGTGCAAGAAATCCAAGCATGCTTGTTTATTTCAGTTTATAATAAATCAAATAATAAAAATTTTCCTGTTTTTTGTTAATTATTTTGCAATGAATTTTCTTTATTTTTATTCAGGATCACCTTAAAACCAGGTAATATGGGACATTGTAATATCCATTCCTGGTTCTTTTTAATAATTGTCTGAAAGGTGGTCAATATTTGAGTGTAATGCTCAAATGCACATTAGCTATTTACACAACCAAGAAGTGCTATAAACATTTGATTGGTGCATTTTTGGATAACATATATATGTGAGAGTTAAGTGGCATTTAAAAGCTTGGTGATTTGCAGTCTTCCATATCAAATGTGGTCTTTTATGCTACAAAATTTTAAGTAATACATCTCTCAAAACTGACCCTTAAACATGTTATATATGATTATGAAGCTATATATATTCATAAGGCTATAAATACAATTTTTTGAAAAAACTATTTTGTGTTAATATTATCTGTCAAAGAACCATGCATTGAACAGTGCAGATCATGTGAATCAAGCATTAAACTGTGCAGATAATTTAGAGCTATAATTATACACAATATGTATTGCAAGGCAGGTTTTAATCAGAAATCAATTTTAAAAAATTTGACCTTTTGAATTAATATTCTTGAGGGCTCATGAAAGTTAAATTTTCATGTATGAAAAATAATTAATTTATATGTCTTTTCCATTGTCCCACTTGGAGACCTCAATAACATTTATACAAAATCACAAACAACATCAAATCATAGATTAATTAAACTGAAGAAATAAGTGTTTGTTAGGTACCACAGAATATGTTCATAAATTAATAAAGCAAAAAACATTACTGATAGTATCCTAACATTAACTTTCATTTTAAATTTTGACAGTTGATTTTAAAATCAAGACAAACTGAGTCAACTAATCAAGAAAAAGAAAACCTCATGATGTGGGTTGAATTGCCAGGGACACCTATGCTAAGACTTCAGGTCTTTATACAGCTCAGTGGCCGGGTCTTTCTTGGCGAAATATTTGCAAAGTACACACGAAGCCCTCGCTCGCTCCGTAAAAAGTTCTCTTTCTCGGTACTTTTCATTCGAAAATTGTAAACTTAGTAGAGGACTTGCGATTTTGGATGCGAAAAGCTGGATTTGGCGACTAGTGCGAGCTATTTTAAGGTAAATATTTGAAGTTTTTCTTGCATTTAGTCTTCCCGCCTTTTTATTGTGTTAACTTGGCCTGCAAAAACAGACAAATTTATTGCAAGATTCTTATAGTTTGATTCTAAAATGTTTTTCAAATACTTGTTTCTATAATTTTTGATGCCTGTCGATTTATTTTTTCTGTGGGGCTGTTGCGAAAATAGTTTTTCAGTCGCAAAACTGACGGCGAAGTATTTTTTTGTTTCTGATCAGCATGAATACATGATATCGCGAGCCTCCGATATTTACCTTAAAGTTCCTGGGATATTTTAATAGTCTATAACAATTCGAATTCGTATCTTTAGAAGCAGTAGAAGGACAGAAGTCCACAATGCCCGGTAGAGGGTAGAAGAAGCAATGCCAATGGGAAACTCAAACACAAATTTCAATACAAGAAAGCCCTAACCAGGCCCTAACCTAGCAAAACGATGTTGAAAACAACCCCAAAATAACTGTTCAATTCTCAATGGACGAAGCAACTTACCATGATGCAGTAAATCTAGGTATGTGGAATTTTTTTCCTATTCTTTTTATATTAGCTAAGCCTAAGTTACTTGAAATTATTCCTTCCTTATACTCACATGTGTCTGCTTATTTGTTTGAGTATGTTTGCATTGTGGATCACATAGAACATATAGATTTTGAAGGTCTGTTGAACAATGTGCTCTGTTATATGCATACAAAGCACACTACTCGAATTTACACTCATATACATGCAATTTTTCTATTTGTTCGTAGATTGAAGACTCGTTTCGTGCAATTGGCACAACAGGAAACCTCCGAAAATTTTACTACGAGGAAAATTGTAAAAGAAGAAACGTGGATCAGTATTGCTTATACAGCCAGGTCATCATCTTGGTAGAGTGAGTCTTAGCTTAGTAGAACTCTAGTAGAACTGAACAACCAGTGTCTTAATGACTATACCATTATGTTTTAGGCATGCATGGTACTCCACTTAAAAACATTTTCTAAGTTTTTTGCAAATGTGCATGTGTGTTAAAGTGTAAATAAAAAGTATTAAAGAGCTATACTATAGAAGCAATTCCTTTAATGCGTAGTTGACTTGCTGTACTCAAACAGAAATGTAATTGATCTCATGTATTCAATATTATAATATTATAATAACGATATTTGTGCTGCATTGTTTGTTGACTCGATCGGTATTATAGGTAGAAATCTTCGATGGAACGGAATATTTCGCTCAATTTATTTATCTTTTCATTTGTGAAATTAAACCGAAGCAGATTTACTTGATAGATCACAATTGAAAAGAAAATCAAGCGAAAAATTTCCTTCGATCGAAGTAATTTACCTATATAGTAGAAAACCGGCCTAACACCTAAAACGGTGTTAAATGTGTTTAACTCCAAAAATGGAGTTATGTTTTAAGTCCAGAATTGGAGTTAAATTAACTCCAAAAGCGGTGTTAAATTATAACACCAGAAGTGGAGTTATTTGTTACTCCAAAAAGCTACTCATTTTGAACCTTTTTTTTTGACCCCTTTTTTGGTGTTAAAATAACTCCCTAAAAATAACAGTGTGGGTTCGGGAAATATGATTATATAAACTATTGTTGTATTCTCATTTGGCAACTTGAAAAATTTGGTAAAATTGAGTATAGAGGGGGAGCAGAATCAAATACCTATGCAAAACTAATGCATCAACATTGCGGGGATATTTTTTTTTAAAATATTTGGAAGAGTACATTGAATATTAACTATATATGTACATACATATTTACACATGCAGTGCACGTCGATACACAACACGACGTTACGGTGACAACACAACACAACTAATAACCAATCTCCCAAAGTTTAGAATTCTACTTATATTTAGATTTATACTAAATCTATAGGATACTATGCGATTTTAAATCGATTTCCTTCATGCAATTTTTGCACGTCCCAGGATGTTTTTCCCCGCAACTCAATTACCAAACCCCGCGGTTTCCTTTCTCGTGCGTACATTTGCGCGCATATTTTCTCCTGTTTACAATTTTACTATATTTTAGCATAAACAAGGCGCCTTTTCTGGCGTTTACTCCGGCGTACCGCACGTGCTGGTCTTCAATATAAGGGCTCTGAAAATAAACAATACAGTTCATATTCATTTAGATGCCTTGCAAACCTAAATGTTGTTCGAACGCGAAATTCAGAAGCTCATCGTACTTTAAAAAGTATAGAATTTCAATTGTTCAAAAATGTAAATAAACGGCATGATACGTTCACTTTGTCTTACACTTTGGAATTCGTGCTTTATATATTATTAAATCTTCAATCCTGTGCAAATTAACTGCGACGTGTCAACGCGCCCATAAATCAGTAGAGACCTTTAGCTTGACGTTTACGGCAAACGGCAAATCGCTAACAAAGTTTGTGTTTTACTGACTCCACTATCTTTAAGTGGGTGGCAATTTCGCTAAATCACAAACGTTCTACATAAAACTTGTGATGTTCAGCAGTAATGTAAGAAAGCAAAAGACTATTTCTGATGTATTTAGAAAAGCAGCAAATTCAGCTTTGCCGTATGTGTTTCACGTTCGCCGTGATGATCATATCTTGTGAAACGGCGAAATAGCAGCGATAATATTAGAATAAGACCAGAATCTACATGTATTAAATATATTTTTTCCCGAATTAAATCTAAACTTAATCAAACAGCATCAAACGAACGGTTTATTTGTTCCTTATGGGGGAATTGCCGTATCATGTGAGAGAAATCAAATGAACACACCATACGACGAAGCGCGAGTTTGTGAAATGATCGTATTCGTCGTACTCTAGTGCTATTTCATAGCAGCAATAACATTCTACAGCCCTTGTTAATAATGCGCAATGTTCACATTTACACCAAGTAAGTTCTTAGCCGGGCATTCGCTCTATAGCTATATATATATATATATATATATATATATATATATATATATACACCCATTTGCAAAAACGTTGGCCGCAGATAGATAGATAGATAGATACCCATAGTCTATAGTTAGAATTGTATATGATTACATTTGCATGGGATTTCAATCATATTACACAACATATGCAATTCTAATTAGATTTCGGGTATCTATCTATATATCTATCTGCGGCCAACGTTTTTGCAAACGGGTGTATATATATATATATATATATATATATATATATATATATATATATATATATATACAACTAATTAAAAGAATTGTATTTATAATTGTTATAACACGCTCTGCATTCTATGTATTGAGCACTCTGTGTTCTACAAAAGTCTATTTGGAATAGATTATATATATATATATATATTATATATATATATATATATATATTATATATATATATATATAATATATATATATATATATATATATACAGTCGTTATCAAAAAGGTTGTCATATGGAAATATATATAAATACGTAAATATCGGTCACGTGATTTTACTACATACGTTAATTTTATGAGAAATCGTTGGAAATCTGTCGTGAAAATTTCTTAAATGTCATAGTAAGGTGAACAATATTGTAATAATAAAGAAACAAGTGATAAGTGATCAAAATAAGCCATGTTTAATGGTCACGTGATTGATATTTATATATTTCTATATATATTGATCGGGACAACCTTTTTGATAACGACTGTATATATATATATATATATATATATATATATATATATATATATATATATATATATATATATATATATATATATATATACATTTCTCTCTTTTCCTGCAGGTTTATGTGGTGATAACCATCTGTATACTCCTGCTACACTTCAAAGTCCTCTTTATCCCCGTTACTTCCCTAACTCTATAGACTGTAACTGGACTATTTCTGACACCAATGGATCAAGGATTCTGTTAACGTTTTTAGAATTTGCGGTAGGTCATATTTCCTTTTAAGGTGGCTCGATACAGTTTTTTCTTCAGTCACTTTGACACGTTCAAACAACGCATTTTTATGATTTATTCTAGAGATATTGGGGCTTTTATATATCTTGATGTTTCTATGGCGACACACGTGACCAAAATTCACTCCAAAATAGCCAATTGCCTCAGATAGTTGGAAAACAAGCACATTGACCCCCAATTCTTTTTGGTGCATTATTTTACTTGGAAGAAAAACTAACAATTAGCAGAATATAAAAAAATTCTATAATAGCGAAAAAAAATTTGTGGTCACTGTGCTTCTTTTCCAACTATCCGAGGCAATTAGCCATTTTGGAGTGCATTTTGTACACGTATGTCGCCATAGCAACGGACGATCTGTTACTAAAACTAATACGATTCCAAAGTATAGACATTAAAATAGATAAAAACCCGAATATCTCTGGAATTTATCAGAAAAATACGTTGTTTGAACGTGTCCAAGTGATGAACAATGGAATTCTTGAAAACTGTATCAAGCCACCTTAATGTACTGAAATACGGGCAGGGAAGAATTTTTATTCTTGTTTCACTTTTAGTTGGAAAGTCGTTCAGGTTGTATTTATGATTACTTGGACGTTTATGATGGTGACTCCTCGTATGCACAAAAACTTGGGCGATATTGTGGAAACGACTCAAAACTAAGTCTGACATCATCTGGATCCCACCTCTTTATTGCGCTCCACTCGGATGGTATTATACAAAAACAAGCATTTGTTTTGAATTTCTCAAATACAGTTGGTAAGTTTTGCTTACAAATTTAACGCTAATGGCGAACATTGAAAACGCATACATGTAAACTGTCTGATTTTTTGATAAAATAGTGTTCGATCATGCGCGCATCGATTATATCATTCACTAAATAGACAAAGCCATTGACGGGGTTCGAATTTTTACTTTTGCCCTTTGAAGGAAGTTACAAGCAATTCTTGACTATATTTGCAGCAAATAACATATACATATCATTAATATTCAGCCTATATACAGGGTGAGTAAAAAAAACTTTGAAATTAAAATTAGCCGCGAACTTTTGGCTGGAATTTGACAATTCCCATTGTGTACAATCCACAAGACGTGGTTAATTAATGCAAAAGTGTTGAAACCATTTGAATTAATTCGACGTTCTTTTTTATTACAGAGCTTAGAAGCATTTTAACTTCCAAAGGGAACAAACTTTATGTTATACAGGGTGTCCCAAAAAAAAATGAAAACTATTGATATCACCTAAACAATGCAATTGTTCGAGTTTGAATGCCTAAGCACTCTGTTGGGATCCACAAGTGTATAAATGTTTACCATACCCATTTTTATGCATTCATATATGATGCAGTAAAATTTGCTTGTTCGCAAAAATGATATTTATCAACAATCTTTACATATTACAAATATGGATAACATTATTTAAATGTGCACCTCAAGGACAATGACCTTCGACATGTCCCCTTTCTCTAGTAACACAAAGCATTTAGCATTTTATAAGTTGCATTAAATTCCCACGGGCTGAAATTCGTGAACACGGCATTCAAATTTTAATAATGAGTGATTTCAATAGTTTTCGTTTTTTTGGGACACCCTGTAGGTTAATTAATGGTTCACCTATTTGATATGCTTCGTTTACCCATGAGATATTTCAGGCAACTCTTTTCACATTACAGTCGATTACAGACATTGCAACTAATTTGAATTTCAAAGGTATCAGTTTTTTTACTCACCCTGTAAGTAAACGCAAACGATTAGAAATATACATTGTCCTCTCCATTGTTGTAAATACAATCACAGTTAATGCCAGTAAAGCTGCAAAGATTATCACCCTGTTCTTAAGTACACTAGAATTTAGGCCTTTTGGAATTTAAAGCACTTGTAATCGGTTTAAATTTACGTCTTGACTATACCATGGTTTATAGAAATAATTAATTTCTGGCACTACGTAGTGCACTATCGACACAATTCTGTCCGGATAAAAAGCTGACTGCACTAATCCTTAATCTTTTCAATTGCAATGCAATACTGAGAAAAAAAGCAGTAATTTAGATGAATAATTTTTTGTTTATCATGCAAGTCATAATCTTAGATCTCCTCAGCGTTTAACGATTTTCACAAGATCGACACTCGATCACGCAGCTCTTGCCCCACTATAGTACGATTGCACTTCTATGTATAAAGGCGCTACATTTTGCTGTTAATAATCAATTTATGTGCTTCTGAAAACTGAAAATTCGCGTCGCCTTCCCGCATCGCGTCCGGTCTGTGGCGATATTTACGCTACCTGCAACACATGCTCCTCCTCCAACCCACTTGATCTTGTGTCTAAAATATCAATTTCCTGTCTGTTGTAAATAACACTAAGCGGTCGCATCCACGTCATGGATTAGACTGACGCAATTTAAACTCGCTATATTGTGAATGACTGTGACCGCCCAACTTTGAAATATCTTGTCAAAAAAGTATTTTTCCGCTTTGACGAATGTCCGTATAGCAACCGAAAAATGTAGAGCTAGTTAATTATCAGGAACGCACAGTGAGCAAGCATCGAAGAAGTCAACATTTTAATATTCCTAAAAATCGGCTGGTCACTAGCTTTAAGATCGATGCATCGCCATCTTATTTAGGCATCGATTTCCTGAATAACCTCAAAGACTTAGCTACAAATTTACATTGGCGATAATTGGGGGGAGGGGCACATATTCATATATTCTTGTTATATAAGAAATTAATAATATTGCACAACGTGAATATAATAGTTATATGAATATTGGCCATGTATTGCATGGTCTATCGCAGAGCTTATTCCTGTTCATGACGCAGACAAATTAAGTCAAGATAATTATATAAGCAAACGAGTTGAAGGTAGGTCACTACATGTGTCACTACAGGTTTAAATTCGAAAACATTTTCAAATGGTATGCCATTTGAGTTAAATATCGTTTTATAACATTCAACTAGTGACAAATAAATTCTACGCTTTTCAAGAGAATCCCACTTTAACAGATTGCATCATTGTTCATACGGCATTTCACCACGCTTCTGATTAAGAGATAATCTTGAAGCTCTCCTCTGAATGCTTTCTAAGGCATTCAGAATGTTTTCTGAATGCTTTCTATATCTTTCAGTAAATAGGGGGACCATACTGGACAAGCATACTCTAGCATCGGACGCACAAGAGTTACATACAATTTTGAAAAGACAGCTCTACTGGTGCATCCAACTGTTCGTTTAATAAGGCCCAGGACACGATTTGCTTTATTTACAGAGGTGTTTACTTGGTCACTCTACTTCAAATTGTAAGACATAATTACGCCTAGGTCTTTGAACTTTCTTGAAACTTTAAGTGGTTTTCCAAGCATGTTGTAATTTGGTACTGAGAGATCTCGATGATGTGTTACTCTCATTACTTTACACTTGTCAGGATTAAAGGACATTTGCCATAACCTAGCCCAATCGCAAAGCAAATCTAGATCAGATTGTAACATTGAGCAGTCTTCGTTCACTTTGTCTTACACTTTGGAATTCGTGCTTTATATATTATTAAATCTTCAATCCTGTGCAAATTAACTGCGACGTGTCAACGCGCCCATAAATAGAGATCTTTAGCTTGACGTTTACGGCAAACGCCAAATCGCTAACAAAGTTTGTGCTAACAAAGTGGGCGGCAATTTCGCTAAATTACAAACGTTCTACATAAAACTTGTGATGTTCAGCAGTAATGTAAGAAAGCAAAAGACTATTTCTGATGTATTTAGAAAAGCAGCAAATTCAGCTTTGCCGTATGTGTTTCACGTTCGCCGTATAAATTTTAATGCTTGAACGGCTGATGGTGTATGCTGTTGGAGACAGGCCCGGCCATACTGTATAATCAATCATATATAGTTAATTTAGTTATGACGAATGTCAATAGACAGAAAGTAAAAATAGTGAGAGAGAGTGAGACTGTGAGGGAGTGAGCATCTGTAATTTGTGTTGAAATTATTGAAATAAACTTTCATTGTGATCTTTGGTGGATTATCTAACGGAGGCGGAACATTCACCAAACCTGCCACCTCCGCGACGGAATTTAGCGTATCTGCATTTATTGTGGTAATTTTTATACGAGACTATGGAATTAGAATCGGCAAAGGCGAGGTTAAATGTTAAACTTACAAAATTGGAACTATCTGTGAAAGAAACGGCGAGTATTTTGGAGAAATGCAAAGAGGAATCAATCGAGCGTCAACTGAACGCCCTTAAAGTGATTACTAGCGAAGTTGATCAGCGCAAGCGGAAAGTTGAAGAGTTACAAATAGCGGAGAAAACCGAAGTGGACGAAATTACGCAATACGGCGCATCTGTTGACGAGAAAATCGACGCACCGGATATCGAAGTTACGCGAATCAAACGATGGCTTCAAGAGAAAGAAGCAGAGAAAGACACTACAGAGAAGAAAGGTAAGATGCAGTTTGAAATGGAATTGCATAAACTCAAGCTAAAGGCGCAATCTACGTCAGCCCAAAAAAATGATAAGAATGTTGAGCAGGGAAATTTTGTCGATGCAAAACTTCCCAAACTTGAAATAACGCGCTCTGATGGGTCGCCCCTTGATTGGCCGAGGTTTTGGGGACAATTTACAGAGACGGTGGACAAGCGTTCCGTGGCACCAGTGAATAAGTTTGCGTATTTGTGCGGGTTTTTGTCGCCTAAGGTTAAAACTGCGATTGAAGGCTTACCTTTCACCCCTGAGGGCTATAATTGCGCCAAATCTATACTTGAAGATCGGTATGGAAATAATTCCGAAGTAATTAAAGCATACATCAAACTGATAATAGATTTGCCTACTATTAATCAGCTTAATTTTAAGAAAATATATCAATTTAATGACCAGTTTATGCATGCGGTTCAAGCTCTTCAAACCTTGAGCAAATTAGAGACGGTGAATGGATACGTCCCTATGACCTTGGACAAACTTCAAGCAATCAGGGGGGACTTGGCGCGCACTGATACCGATTGGGAAGAATGGAACTTCGCAAAGCTGTCTGAGGCTTATCGAAGCGAACGAAGTAGAGGGAAACAAATCATTGAAGCAAGACAGATCGTCAAGGCGGTTGTTTTTCTCGAAGAGCCCAGAACATACGTGTGCATACTGCGACGGGGGGACCACAAAACGGTTGCATGCAACAAAATCACTGACGTCAAATGTCGCAAAGAGATTCTAGCGAGGAAAAAACTATGCTTCAATTGGGCAGCCGGTAATCATAAAGCGGCGAACTGTCCGAGCAAGCGTTCGTGCCCAATCTGTGAGAAACGACATCACACATCTATCTGTGATACCAATCTGAATGGCGACCCGATGGTAATGACCAGTAAAACCGGAAACGAAGCAATTTTTCCAGTCGTAGTCGTGATGGTTAATGGTATACGTTGTAGAGCACTGATCGATTCGGGTGTAGGTAGCTCCTACGCTTCGGGAAAACTGGTAGAGGCTCTAAAACTCCAGCTTGTAGAAAAGAAAGTCAGTCGAATTGACATGTTGATGACGTCAAAAGTTGCGCAACAAGAGATCTACAAAGTCAAGGTGCAAGCACTTGATTCCGACTACGAAATCGAGACGAATTTGACAAAGGTAAACAAGGGCGAGTTGTTGTTCGTAGAGAATCTCAATTGCAAAAATCTTCTGCAGAAATACTCTCATGTGAGAGGCGTAAATCTAAATGAGACCGAGACCAAGAAATCCCTACCAATCCATGTCATCCTGGGCAGTTGGGAATATG